AGCAGATATTCGCTAATTGGGCATTGATTTTCGCGTCGAATGATTCATCACAATTTCCACAGTTTACCATTTTCTCTCTGACGTTTTTCGAAATTTTTTACCTCCAGCCATGCAGAGTTGCAGAACAGGAAGTAGAAATCATTAATGGTTTTATGAACAAAAAAAATCGATCAGAACCTTTCAATAATATATATAACTTTTTCCTGCTTTGAAATTTATGAAACGGCTTTCAAGCGCTTCTGGCGCATTCTCGGTAGGCGGGGTGAATGCCACCTAAATACTTACCTTGGATTGTGCGTTGTGCATGTTGCGCTTCTTCTTGTGTGCGATACTTAATGAAGTATACTTCCGGTTTGCTGGGCTGCTTGGGTGCTGCCTCTTGGTAGGTTGCCTGCAAGTCAATTGGATCCGGTTTACGCGTAAGCACATAGATGATAGTCTTCTCTTCGGTTGGCGCTTGATTCACACGCAAGGCTGCAGCGCTGGTCTTATGTGATGGCGCTTTAATGAATACAATGCGATAGTGCTTGCGTGGCGGTGGTGGCGGCAATACCGGGCGCTGGTAGCGTTCCTCCTGCTCCTCGGGTGCTACATGCACATAAATGTCCTTGGTTACCAGAGATGGTGATTGTGCGTAGTTGCCTTGTTGATATTGCTGTTGCGCGTAAGATGGGTGGGCGGGTTGTTGTAAGAAAAGGCTTGGCTGAAAGCCAGAGTGTTGTTGTGTTACCTGCGACAAAAGGGCGCCTTGATAAAAGTTATTCGGCGTTGCAGCGGTAGGCACAGGTGCTGGCGCGCTCACAGTGACGGGTGGAAGGTAGGTGGTGGGCGGTGCGCTGATGAGCGATTGCGCTAGTTTTGTATTTTGTAATGCCTGCTGCAGAAAGCTGGGAGTTTCGACTGCGGCAGAACTGCTGTGTTGTTGTTGTTGTTGCGCGCCTGATATGCTACTAATACCCGGGAGTTTGATTTGAAAGCTGTTCTGTTGATTTTGGAAACTGCTTTTCTGATTTTGATAGCTGTAGCCCTGCGGTTTGGCATAAGCCGAAGCGAGTAGGCAGAGTGTCTGAAATTGGTGAGAGAAGGCGTTAAATTTAGCAAATAATGATATAGTGGATATGGATATAGTGGAATCTAAATAAAAAATTTTCACATTGTCACTCGTTAACAACGGTTTCGTTACCGCGGTTAGAAAATGTATATGTACGTCGAAAGGTTGGTGGATAGGCAAGTCCGACCCTAGGACTATGCAGAAAAAATTCAAAATCTATATAAAATATACCAAATTTGAAAGAGTTTGGTGGAGAATTCGGCGCTGAGGCTAAAGAACAATATATCATAGAAATTTGTGTAATAATAATAAGATTTTGGCGCTAGCACTTTTGCTAAGTATTTGGCAGAGTCTCTCTTGGTCAGTTCATTCGCCACACAGTTTTATGTAATACATATTACTGTGACCCGAAACGCGCAGGCTATACTCTGACATGAACGAAAGATGGGTCAAACTTTTTCACAACTGGTAACTTTGGGAACACAGTGAGTGAGCTCAAGGCGTCTTGTATATCAGAGCAGATATTTATGTCCCTTGCTGACGTCTCGCAAATTAGCAGCGAATCAACTACTTTCATAATGGCATCTAACACTCACTGAAGAACGTTAAAGTGATCTGAAAGTTAAGGGTTCCTACAATGGAGCTTTTCATCGATAATACCCGTTAAGTTTCAAGCCATCCATGTAAATGTTCAACGGAGTCTTCCTT